ACACCTGAGTAGGAAGCCAACCAGTAGAACATCCATTCATCATCATTGGCCAACTAGCCTCCCTCACCTACTTCACCATCCTCCTAATCCTCTTCCCCCCCCACATCCTTCACCCCTTTCCTCATTTACCCCCCACATCCTTCACCCCCTCCCCACACCTTTCCCTGCATCTCCTCCCACTTCTCCTTGGCTTTTTTCTTTTTTTAAAGGACAAATCAGCAAAAACTGGGGTGCCAACCAGAGACCCCTTCCCTTTACTGGGGATCTTCTCCAGCCTTTCCTTTGCAACTCGGTTTTGGGGGGAGGCAAAACCACCTTGTTCCCAACTGGCCCAGAGCTCCAGCACCACCAACAGACTTGCTCGTGGGTTTTTTTTACCATCCCTTGTCAGCACTTTGCTATTTCCAGCTCCTAACCCACTTTCCCCCCTAAGACAACAGATTTCTCCCTGGGGATGTGAAATTTTTCCCTGGGGATGGGGGTGTTTCTTGCCTGGAGGGTGAAGCTGAGGCCTTGGCAGAGGTGGATGTGGCTGGGGAGGTGTCCTGGCCACCTTAAAGGGTGTTGCTGGGCCCAGGCCCTGAGGCACAAACCCCACCAAACTGGTGGTGATTAAAAACAAAACAACAACAACAAAAAAATCCAACAACCTCCCCCATAAATGCATTTTTTTCAGGAGCTAAAAAGTGCCCCGGCAGGAATTCCTTCTCAGGCTCTCCCTTTCCTCCTCTCCTGGTTCCCCCCCCCAGGGCTGGGTGTCTCCTGGACATAAGACAAAGTCCCTGTGATGTCCCTCTGTGGTGTTCAGGATGGGATCTGGGGAAGAGCCACACGTTTCAGGGCCTCTGGGGGTTGTGGGAGCTGGTCCTCAGGCTGCTGGTGTTGAGCATCCCACAGGGAGATGTTTTAAAGAACCCACCTTATCTTGTACCTTGTGCCCATCACCCTGCCCTGGTGGTACCCAGGGAGCTGCTGACAGGACCCAAGGGCCAGACAGGACACGATCAGACCCAAAATTAGTGAGCTCCACATCCCTGCTAACCTTAAAAAAGCCTCCAAACTCCTGATTCCACCATTTGGAACCTCAGCAGGATGTCCTGGGGCTGCTGGATGTCCCTGCTCTGTCCCTGCTGCCACCACCGACCTCTGGGGCAGCTGCTTATTTCATTGTTAATTTTTATTTCATTTTTTTTTCCCCTCTCCAAGCTTTTTTTTTTTTTTTTTTTTGTTAAATTTTGCCCCCCCCCTCGTCCCGCGGGTT